CCTCCTTCCCCAGTGCTGGCTGCTTTCTCTCCCCCAGTAACCTCCAGGTCATGGCCAAAGGGGACATGCACAGAAATGCAGCAAGAAGCTAATGCTGGCAGACTTCAAACACCCCAAAAGAGGGGCTAAAAAATCCCTTTTCAAATCCCGACACTTTTCTATGTGACCCCAACATCTCTTTCAGTCCCATCCCTCAGGAAAACAACCCAAATCCTCATTCCCAGCGCCTGGAGAGGAGCCATAGCACAAATGAGTGCTCAGCTCCCCAAACCCTGAGGTTTTGGGCAAGGAGACCCGCGGGGCTTGATGCAGCCCGCGGGATGGGAGAAGCAGAGCAGAGACCCTCGTGTCTTCGCATCACTTTGAGCCCCAACTTCCCCTGGAAGGTGGGGGGGGGGGGGGGGGGCTCCCACCTGCACTGGGGCTGGAGCCGCTGGTCCTGCTGTGGGGATGCATGGGGCTGGGTGGGCACGGGGGTCCGGGGGATGGCTTTGGGATGAGAGGGGCCATGGGAAGGCAGTGTCAAAGTGGGGAGCGTGTGGTTCCCCCCCTTTCCCGGCGCTGGAGCAGGGGTCGGTGGGGCTGGGAGCAGCGAGACTGTGCTGAGTCACGCTGCAGAGCAGGACTGCAGCAAGCTGCCGCCCGCCTGCAATGGGGACGCTGTGACAGCCCCGGCCCTCCTGCCCGCCCCTCGCCTGCTCCAGGGGGCAGGATGCTGATGGGGAGGGTGATGCTCAGGATGGGGGGTCCGCAAGGTCTCGCTGTCTCACTGCTCCCAGCCTTTATTGCACCTCTGAAGCCCCTTTAATAGGGATGGGGCAGCTCAGGGGTGCCAGGGCAGGGGAGGAGGAGGACTGAGCTGTCCTTGGAGGATGTGTCCCTAGCCCCAGTGTCCCCCCATGTAGACACAACTGGGGGGGACAGCACAGCACAAGAAGGCACTTGGCACTGCTGGAACATAGCACTGGGTGTGTGTGTGTGTGTGGGGGGGTGCATTGACAAAGACCCCCATAGCTCCCACCCAGTGCCACCAATGGGGCTGAGCATCCCACATCCCCAACAACCGCCCTGCACAGGACAAAGGGTTGAGGCAGGTTCCTGCTGTAGAGGGAAACTGAGGCAGTGCCCATAGGATTGGCCCCACACGTTGCCACGTCCTGTACTCAGAGCCTGGGGCTGCCCCATCCCCGTCCCGCAGGGCACTGGTGACCACCGTGGGAGCTCGGAGCTGCTTCTGGAGGCACCGAGACAGGCAGGGCTTATTTTAGGTGCTCCATAAATGCTGTCTGGGCGGTATTTATATCAGCTCCTTAAATAAGAGCTGCCATCCCAGCCCGGTGCCTGCTTAATTATTAATGTCCTGCGGGGATGCGTGGTGCCCACCTTCCAGATGGGTTCATGGGGGGGGTTCTGCACCCCACGTCCCCACCAGCACCCACAGTGAGTGCTGACAATGTGGGCACTGCAGGGATAAGCATCCTGCATGGGAGCATCTTCCCATGGGAGAAAGGCTAAAGGGGGGGGTTCCACATGGAGCATGCTGTGGCATAGACACCACTGCAGCCCTCAGCACCATGGTGCTTGTGTGGGTATTAGGGATAAGGGGAGGGTGTTAGGGGTAAAGGGAGGGTGGGAGGCACTGGGTGCTGCCCTCACATCCCGTCTCGGTGGCTTGATGTGGTCGCAGGGATCATCATCCCTATGAGCCCAGCTGTGGTACCCTGAGGGTATAGGCAGCCACGCTTGGTGTCAGGGCTGGTGCTGAGCAGGAGGAGCTGGTGCAGCAGAATTAATCCAGGTTGGGAGGTGCTTTGAAAGCCAAATGAAAGGCCGAGGCTCGGCACAAAGCGCTGCAGCTCCACATACGGGGAGGAAGGAGGTTCCTCCTCAAAGCATGGTCCTCCTGGTGGGCTCATCCATCACTGCCCGCCCCAGAGGCAGCGTCCTGGCTCTGGGGTGCTTTGGGGAGGGTCCAAGCTCTCTCAATGGTTGTGGGGTCCTTCCCAATGTGTGGCAGGGGGAGGAGGTGCTGGGATGGAGCCTCACGGCAGGCTGGGGAGCGCTGCTGTGGGGCAGGGAGGGAGGGATGCCCTGGGCCTGCCCCTGGGATGCTTTCCTTGCTGAGGCCAGGTAGAAAAGGGTCCAGGGTGCTGAGGTGTTGGGATGCTGAGATGCTGGGACCAGGTACTCTGGTCCAGCATGAGTCAAACAGGGAGGACACAAGGGCACCGCTGTCCTGTGGGAAGGGGACACTGAAGCCAGATGATTCCTCAGCTTGTTCCCCACCAGCCAAAAGCCCAAACCCTGCACAAAGCGGGGACCCACGGCAGCAAGCGACGGGTGAGGAATCCTGGATCTGTTTTTGGAGCAGGCAGCAGCTAAGCTGAGTGAAAGAGAACTTCCTGCCTTCCCGCGCGGTGTCACAAGGCATTGACAAGGCGTAACGGGGAGGAAGGGATGGGAACGTGAAGAGAAGGACTCGTCTTCCAGGCTGTGGGAATTGACAAAGTGGCACATTCGAATGTGCCGGAGTATTTTTAATACCAGAGGTGGAATCAGGGTGATTGGGTTTTTCTGGGACATCTGCAGAACAGGCCCGCATCCTTGTGATTCCCAACCCAGCAGCGCCTGGGCTGTCACCGATGGGTGTCTGCAGGCACCAGCCAGAGGTGGGAGAAGGGCATTTAGTGATGGGCATCCATATGATACCTCCAGCTGCATGTGCTGCACATCCTAGGGGCCATTCACCACCTAAACTTCATCCCGTTGCTTCCCAGCCTGTAAATCAGGAGAATGAAGCCGAGTGAAGGGCACTGATTTACGACACTGGAGCCCCAAAAGGGGATGGATAAAGCGTGGATAGATATTAGAGCCATTCCTGAGAATTTACAGCATTAATGAACATCATGTTCTGGCCTGCAGTGGGGAGGGAAATCATCTGCCTTGTGGACTGTATTTATTGCTGTGGTGCTTTGACAGGAATAAATCAGGATTTGCTCAGTCTGGGGCAAATAAATAGTGACTGTAAATTTGGACCAGTTGGGAACGTGCTGTATTGATGCAAACTCCCAGGTTTGTATGGAAAAGCAATGGCTTTTTATTAGGAAAGTTGGTATATTTGGAGAAACCAGAGGAGCTTCCAGGTGCACATCCACTTCTTCAGGTCCTGGCTCGCGTTAGACATTGTCCATGAGAATCCAGGAATTGTACCCATCTATCCAATCCAAACATAGCAGCATCACTCCAAAGGTGTCTGGGATGAGCAGGCAGCTCCACGCTGGTCCATACGCAGAAGCCATAGAATCGTGGACTCATGGAATGGTTTGTGTTGGAGGGACCATAAAGCTCATCCAGTTCCAATCTCCCCTCTGGCAGGTTAAAGCCATTCCCCTTGGCCTGGCCCTACAGGACCTTGTCCAAAGCCCCTCTCCCAAGTTCCTGTAGGACAGATTCAATAACCCTGCTTGGCTTGGGCGATGCCCCACAACATCTCTGGATACCTCCATGTTATTGATAAGAAATGGTAGCAAACAGCTGAAAAAACAGTTTGAGACCCACAACTCCTTTGCATTCTTCCCTTTGGAACTCAAATTCTCCCTCCAAAGCCGGCGTCACACAGGGAACAGCACAAGCCCCACTGCTGAGCTCTCTGAGACGATGCTGGGCCTCCTCAGGAGGATGAATGTGCCATTATCAGCAGAGAGGCATAAACTGCCCTTGTCCACAGGCACGCTCCTGGGATTGCTGCGGTGGTAAACAGAAGCCGGGCACAAAGGCTGGTCTCACACCAGGCCCGCCTGCGCTGCGGGGCTTGAGGCTGGGGATGTGAGCAAGGAGACAGCGGTTGGCTCTAGAGAGGAAATGGAGAGGGTCTGGGCTCTAGTTTCATTTAGCAGGCAGTTCTGCTGCCCTCAGAAGCTGTAAACAAAGGAGTATTTTGTGTTAAACCAACCCATTCAACCCCATTCTCTGCCACTTATAAAGCGGCGCTAAAACCACAATAAAGAGGGGGATCTCACCCCAAAACGATGCTGCTTAATAAAGCATCACCATTGGAATTCCCAAACCAGTTTTTCCCCAAACACATGGGTGAGACCATGGCCACGGGCAGAACAGCCAGCGCAGGCTCTGGCCATGGGGTTGCTCTATGGAAACCGGCACATCCCAATGCCACTGAGGTTTCCTGCGGGGATTCGGGATGGGGATCACAGGCGGGATGGCTGTGTCCTCCAAGGTCATCCTCACACCTCCCAGAGCACCTGCATGGGGACAGCGGCACCAGGGTGTGCGAGAGGGAGGACTGTGCTTGCCCATGCACAGCCATGCATCAGCATTGCCGGGCTCCCTCCAACCGGGATAATGCATTTCCACTGGGATCATTAAGCCCCTCGCCTTCCTCCCAGCATCCTCTCAGCACTGCTTTACCCACAGGCTTTTCCGAACGGGGTTTCTTATGGCACAGCTCCTATTTCACGTGTTACTGATGAGGAGCGCGCCACGCTCCCAGCCTGCCCACCCGCCCGCGTTGCTCTGCAGTGGGTCGGATGCGGAGCCCCACTGAGCCCCAGCGCATGGGGAAGGGGACAGAGGGACCACGCTCTGCGCCAGCCTGGCCCAGCACCACCACGGGGCCTGTCCCCGGGTGCCTGCGCTCAGTGGGTCCGGCCCCGCGTGCCCGGTGTGGGTCCCGCCGAGCGCAGCCCCCCCCGGGGACCCCCCTGCTCCCATCCCCGTCCCCGCGGCCGCTCCCGGTGAATCAGCACCAGCGGCCGGCGGGACCCCGCGGGGCGGGGTTAGCGAGCCTGAGGGGGGCGTGGCCTGAGGGGGGCGGGAGCGGCGGCAGCGCGCGGGGCACGACGGGAGTCGTAGTCCGTAACCCGGGTCTCCCCCGTTCCCAGTCACCCTCCGAGGACTCCATCTCCCGTCGTGCCCCGCGCGGGGGAGGGGGGGCGGTGGAGGGGCAGGGGCGGGGCCCGGGGGGCGGGGCCGGGCGCAGGGGGGGGGGGTTGTGGTGGCCCGCGGCGCGCGCACAGCACCGGGTGCAGCCGCCGCCGCCTCAGCCGCAGCAGCGCCAGGAGCCGCCGCCCGCCCTCCTCCTCCTCCTCCTCCCGTTACCGCCCTTCCTCATCCTTCCTCCTCCTTCCTCCTCCTCCTCCTCCCGGAGCCCGCAGCCTCCTCGCCCTACCCCCGGCCCCGCGAAGATGGTGGACCGCGAGCAGCTGGTGCAGAAGGCCCGGCTGGCCGAGCAAGCCGAGCGGTACGACGACATGGCGGCCGCCATGAAGAACGTGAGTGCCGTCCCGCGGCCCGGGTCTGCCCCTCCCGCTCCCCGCTCCCCTCCCTTGGTGCGGGTTCGTGCTCCCCTCGCCCTCCCCGTGCTGCCCCCCGCGGTGGGCGCAGGGCTCGGACATGGGGCGCGGGCCCCATCGCCGTCCCTCCGTGCGTGCTCCGGTCCTTGTGCTGCCCCCGGTACCGGTTGCCCTTTGCGTTTCCCTGCGCAGGGACGCGTTGTTCTCCCCAGGTCTCCATCCTCTGCCCTGGAGCCCCCCACGCATCCTCTGCCCTGCTCTAGAGTCCCCTCCCCAGCCCCGCACCTCCTTTCCCTTGCCCTGCAGCCCCACACGCAAGCTCTCCCCTGCCCTAGAGCCCCCATGCATTGCCTCTTGTGCCGCCCCACATCCTCTCCTCTGCCTTTCCGTCCCCCTGTGCTCTCCCCTGCCTTAGAGCCTCCTCCCTGCCCCACACATCATCCCTTTACCCCATCCCTTCTCTCACCCCACACTAGGCCCCCCTCCGTGCCTCCCGCATCCCCTGTGTGCTCCCATCCCCACTGCTGCTCCCTGCCCTGTGCCAGCACGGGGGGCACAGGCTGCAGCGTCCCCCAAGCGGTCACTTGGGGGGCTGCCAAGCCCAATGGGGCAAGGTTGTGGGGTGGGGAATAGGGAAGGGGGGGTGTTGCATGCACACCTCTTCCCCACGGCCCAGCTACCTCCCCGTGGCTCCCGTGCATCCCTTCCCGTGCGCGGTCGGTGAGGCTGGGGTGTGCTCGTGGCCCCAGAGATCGGGAGCCCTTTCGCTGTCAAAGCTCTTTATTTTTACTGCACTTGGTTGGAGATTTATGAATTGAGTCATGTTGTATTCATTTCACGCTCTTAAAATAAAGACTCTGCGTATAGCGGGCTGATCTGATTTGTGACACTGAACGGCTCCCCTTCAATCCTGACATTTTGACAATATAAGAAGGGAGGAAAAAGAAAAGCCCCGTATCTCTGATCTGATCTTGCAAACAAAGCAATCGTGGGAGGCAGGATCAAGTCATTCCAGAAGATTCTGCATTTGTCATATTGCAGAGAGGCTAGACTGGGTGGAGGGAGGGAGGGGGTGCTTTAAAGGGGAAAACTGTGCTTTATGTTTGTCTTCTTAGTCAGGTCTGAACCTTTGCGAGGAGCTGGGGTGTCCTCCCTGCCTGATGGGGAGGGAATGCTGATCTAGGAATGTCGCAGTCTGCCGTGGGTGCAGCTCTGTTTGCCCATATTGCACCATTTTGTCAATAACCTTGCATTGATCAAAGCAGACAAAACTGTCACAGCCTGAGCACGGGGAGGGAGGAGATGGCTTATCCAGGAATGAAATATGGATAATGGGAAAATGATATTACCATATTAAACCAGCCGGGGCTATTCCTTTGCTGCGCTATGGCTTTTATACTGTTTTCTGATAACGGCATCTGTTCGTTTCCAAGCAAAGCCTGCTGTGTGAGCACATCCTACAGCTCATTTCCTACGGATAATACAGCCGCTATGACAAAGCCAACAGGGATATGCCTGGGATGCACAGCCCTGGTGCGGTATTCCCGCCGGGCAATGTCCCTAGCCTGCTGGGTGTTTAAACCGGAGGTGGTGTTGGAGATGATCTCTGTGTTTTATTCCCTTTTAGCCCTGGTGAAGCAGTACCCGAGGCTCAACGCCGCTTATGGGTCTCCGTAAGGAAGCGATTCCCAGCGGGACAGCTCCCGCCACCACGGCAAACAAAAGGCAGAGCTTTTGTTCTCCCTTGCTGCTCCGTGCTGCCCGAAGCCGGGCACGGGCGGCGGTGCCGGGCACGTCAGCCCCGGTCCTCCCTGTCCCTGTCCCCAGCTCCGCTGGTGCGGGAGGCTGATGACCTCGCACTCATTTCCGTAGCAACGCCTAGTGATGTCATATGCCATGGTCCAAGCTGCAATGCACCCAGGTGGTAGCAGAGAGCATGCGGGCTGCGTCTAGAGAAGGTGATGCAGAAGCATCCCCTGGCTCTTGGCCGGTTTGTCTCCCACCCTCTAAAGCTGCCTGCTTCCTGAGCACCGTGCTGGGGAATGCCCCACGGCTTTCCCTTAAGCCTGCGGGGGTTGTGATGGGTGTAAAGGAGGTTCATTCCCCTGCAGTTTGAGCGTTTTGGTGGTGACATGGCATTGTTCTGCCAGCCTCAGCCCTGCCTGCTCAGAGGCTGTGCTTGGCTATAGTAGTGGTTTGAAATGGAAATGGTGTACTGGGCCCCTTTCTGGCTGCTGATTCATCTGCTGATGCTTGCCACAGTGGTGTACAGGATCCCAATAGTCTCTTCCAAATAATATCATATATATAGTAAGTTCTGGCTCCTTCCTTCCAGCAAATGCTTTGTGCCAGTGCCCCTGGTTGGTGCATGCGGTTGCATTGCTGCTGCAGGAGTGGGGCTGGTCCTTCAGCCCCCAGATGTGACAAATTCACTGGGGAATGTCAGTAAAACACAGCAGATGGTCCCCTTGCCTACCAGCAGGAGCAGGAGGTGATGCCGCACCAGGGAAGGATGCGGGGCTTAGCCCATTGCTCCAGGGTATGGCTGCATGATGTTGGTCATGTCCCTTGTCACAGTCTGGGGGTACAGTCAGCCTTACCATGCATTGGAGAGCAGGAATGCACCTCGCTGGTCAGTGGGGAGGTGTTGCCTTGGGCTTGCCAGCCCACTTGATGCTGTGCCCAAGCAGCACCAGCAGTCTCCTTACCAACTCATTGGTATTTTGCTGCCTGCAGTGCTTATGGTTGTCTGGTCCAGCTTCATGAGGAGTTTTCTGTCCAGCCCAGCACCAGGGCTGTGGATCGATATCCATTAGCTGGGGAGCAGTGATGTTGCTGGAGGCTTTTTCGCCCTGCCTGGGGAGCAGAGCACGTGTCTCCCTGTAGACCGCTGGGGTAAGAGAGGATGTGCAGGAGAACAAGCCAATTGCAGTAACTCACCTAAAAAGGCTGGGGGGAGGATTATTATTGCCCCTATGCATCATGAAGGTATGGGACCACATGGCAGAGTCCTTGAACCCATTGAAGGTCTGCTGCGTGTGGAACATGTGGCTGCTTGACTTTGGGGACCATGGGCTGTGGTGGGTTGATTTGGGGTGAGGGTTGGAGCTGTTGAAAGGCAGATGGCTGCTGCCCAAGCATTAGACCCAACTGGGTCTTGGTGCAGTAAATGGCAGTTGTGGGTGGAGGAAAAGAGCAAATGTGGGTAACCACAGGCCTTCCCTGGCACTGTGCTCCTGCCATGGTGCTCACCAGCCTGGCAGGCTATCACCCACCACATCCAGTGACCAGGTTAGCACAGATAGCAGGGCTTCACACACACACACAGGCTTGGGAAGAGCAGGAGTAACACAAATCCCTCCTATCTGCAGGTCCCCAGGGGAGCGGGGCAGGGATGATTAGCTGTTTTCTGCTCTGCACTGTAGACAAGACAAAGGGTGAGGTGGGAAGGCTTCTCCAGGAGGAGTGCTGGGCAGGCCATCTGTGATGGTAGGGAGGGAGCAAGGAATGTAGTAGCACTTCCCAGGGAGGCTGGGGAAGGCTCTGCAGAAACCATTTCCAGTGCTGAAGTGGAGGGGGTCTGTCGGCATCTAATGACTACATCGATGCTCTTGCTGCCACCCCCTGTGCAGGCAAGATGCTGCTGAGGCTCATGGTGCCTCCTGGACCACTACAGCATATGGCTGCGTGCTTCCCAGCTTGTTCTTACTCACAGAGGATCAGGCATAGAGAAGTCCTCTTGCCCGTTAGCAACGAGGGCTTGTTCAGACCTGAGTGATGGGGTGGTTCTTGGGCAGTGTTAATCCAAAAGCAGAGAGCAGGGCTTCCTTCCCGGAGGCCCACAGGGTCAGGGCAGGGTGGCTGCTGTCCCGCTGTGCTTCCAACCTCCTAATGGTTCTTGGTGTGGGTTATCTCTGTGTAAAGCACTCTCAGGACCTTGTAGTAGTAGGCTGAGTTGTTGCACATCAGCACCCAAACCATGGGCAGGTAGCGACATGCCCTGTACTCGAGTGCAGTGGACACTGAACACAGGAACTGTGTTAACTGGTGAGACTTCAGCACCTCGAGCTCTTAGAAACTCCCCATTGAGCTCCTGGTAAGTCTTTATGTGCTTTAGGAAAAGCCACTTGTGAGGCCATGCTGGGTTTTTCTGTTGACCAGGCGTAGCAGCCAGGCTTGGGTTTGGTTGGAAATAGGTCTTTGAATTGAACAAAGATGATACTGGGACTGTGACAGAGAATTGAACACTCTGCAGGTGTCTGGGGTACAGGGAAACAGTCAAGCTCTTGGACAAGGAAGGGCTCTCCAGGAGCTCCTGCATGTTTTGGGCTTAGCCAGATCTTTCGGATGGAGCCTGGCCCTGAAAGTGCCAAAAGGTTGGTGGGGATTGTGTTGATCTGCTGTTTGTGGTTGGAGATGGCTGGCTCCAGGAGTCTCATTGGGTTTCTAGTATTTGTTCTTTTGTTTGAGGCTTTTTGCAGTTGGTCTCTTTTGAGCACCAGGTAAGCTTGTGATGTGTATGGACAAACCCTGCCTGCCCAAGCTTTGTTCACCAGCTGATCCCAAAGGAGCTCTCTAGAATAGACTCTTTGGGCGCTGGTGCTGTGAGCCTGGGCTTGCTCGAAGCTACAGGAACAGCAGTTTAAGGGCAGTCACAGAACCTCAGCTCCAGAAGGGTTTTCTGAACTGAAACCCGCACCCCTGGAGCACATGCGCTGAGACTTCACTGCACCACTCCATAGCAGGGTTATCACATGCTTGGGTGTAGCACAGTTAGGACTGAGATGAAGAAGGAGGTCAGTGTGCACAGGATGGTGCATAGATGGAGGATCAGCAGGCTGCTTTTCTGCCTCCCACTGAAATACTCCTATGGGATGGTCTGTGCCATTCAGGGTGGGATTAAGCTGTGCTGATGAAAGGCAAAATGAGCTTGATAGGAGCTTTGTAAGCCTTTGTTGTCAGAGGCCTCTGGTATTGGC